AAGTGAACGGACCCCCGCAATGAAGGGTGTGCTTCTGGAAGCAGCTATTTCTAGTACTTCCAGTTGCCACTGTAGTATACAGCTGGATCAACATGTCTGTGCAACATGTCTGCCTTGTCAGGATCTAAAAGGCAGAAATTCAGCATAGCTGGAAGATCCAGATATATCGCTGGTGGTCACGAACAAACAGATAAACACTTCCGGCATGCAACCTCCCGCAACACCTGAGACACCGACCTGAAGCTGTTCCCGGTGATGCACTTTCCCAGTGCATAGGGCAACGGGATTCCAACCATTCAATTTCAATAGCCTTTACATACCCATGACCATATCCTCCGAATGAGGGACCCCCCACCCGATTTCGACACGGGTATGCCTTTACCAAATAACCATTGTGAAGCAAAACAGCAAAAAACCACATCTGCTGAGGCACCTTGGACCGCGATCGTGCCTCCAAGATTAAGGCCAGACGAACGAGACGGGAAAAGAGACCGGAAGGCGAAGACGAAGACGAGTCGTCACCGTTTTCTTCTTTTAATTGCAGGTTTATAATAACCACCTATATAACCTATAACAAACCCAACATAAGGGGGTTGAACACCAGTTAGGGTTTCTACAGAGTGGGTGCAGTAGCTTAAAAGAGACTCGCTTGACAGTAGCTTAAAATAGAAGTTAATGTTGCGCCCCCTTTTTGGCTCCACCGACGCGGCCTGTGAGGCTCCAAGCGTTGTCGGGCCTGTGTGAACATTGAATTGTTCTTTTCGTGGCCAGGCTATCCAGATAAGCTTCGACCGAGAGGCTAAGTTGACTATTCATGCATGTCTTTGTCCCATGAATCTCTATCACCATCCCAGCAACATCACCGCCCAACCATGGTTTTATGAAGGGTTTTAGACTGCAACACTATATATGCCAGGAGGATGCGATGGGTGTCCTGTCTGGACTACCCTGCACTGCTTAGAGATCTCCAGCCAGGACACCAAGACAGGATGGTCCAGGTAGGTCTTCTCCCAAGAGTTTACTAGTAACTTTACTAGTAGCTTCTTGTTTCCAGTAGTACGGCCAGGAGCTACTAGTAGCGTCCTTGTGCTACTATAGTAGCGTCCTTTTCATTGGAGGCCAAACCGGGTGTGGAGTCTTCTTGGGGTCAAGAGTACTGTGACGCTTCGCAGGCCACGTTGGCATTCACCCGAGAAGACCACTCCACTGGTTTCTGCGTTCCAATTGTGTTGTTTGGCGGTCAAGCGGTCATGGGCACATCAAATGGAAGATCAAGCACTGAGTGGAACATGGGTTCCATTTGATGTGTTCCATTTGTGTTCAACAGTCAGAGTCAGGGTCAAGCAATGGGCACATAAAGCTGGCCAAGCTTTAGACTGTTGAGAAAAAACAAACCTCCGGACCCTGGTTTTTGCACCTCCCGTCCTGGGGGGTTATCCATCAACAGTCTAGTTCCAGGCGAAGATGCGTTGGGCTCTTGTGTTTGCAACGTGCTCCTAACTATACAAGTGGAAGAATCCATTGATTTCTAGTGGGGAGCTCAGAGCATTTCTCATGACGAAGCAGAGTTTCATCCACCAACCATTCGGCCGATCACTGAATTATGACCAAGTCATACCCAGGGCTCCAGTCGTCGTACCTCCGTTTTCGTCGGTGCTTAGACCCTCCAAACCTCTTGAACATCTCTTTGGAAATGGAAATACGACTGGAGCTATGACTGGGTTTGTGAGCTTGAAGCTTCCAAAGTGAACACCCTTTTCCCTATTTTCCTCTTAGAATCCTGCAAGACACTTCTGCCACCTCTAAAATGGTTCCTCGTTTCCTCCCTCCAAAGCTGTATCATTTGCTAATTCACTTCAAAAGCAGGTGATCATTCACTGTCCCCATGGATCGGGCCACGCGAAAAAAATGGACTTCATTCGACCTATATAAGGCTGATCTATTCGACCAAGCAGGCTGATCTACTGGGATCTACTGGCTTCTAGTTCTGTATTTTAGATAGGGAGGGCGACTCTCCGGCCGCCGGACTGGATTGACTGGTCGATTTTCCGGTCACCTGGTCTTTTCTGGGACAGGGAACTGGGGGCAGGGAACTTGGGCAGGGAACTGAACTTGTCCTAGTTGAGCTACACAGCTACACACCGTCTTTAAGGACGCAAGAAGAATGTTCTTCTTAGCAACCCAGCGTGGGGACCTGCGTTGGTCTTCGAGTCACTGGATCAAAAGGAGAACCGGAGCTGAACGGAACCGAACTTCCCACCAACCCTTGTGTTTTTTTTCTTCTTCATTGTCAAAGAGACAAAGAGACGAGTCCAGTCCTGCACCAACCAGATGGTATGATGACATCTCCCGGCTTTGTTTCATTTCTTCGCAGATTTCGATGAAGACATGACCAGGCCGACGACAAGACCAAGGTGAAGGGAAGTGCTGAAGCGCAGCCGAGTCGGGGAAACTCAGACGGAGACGCTGCGAGACCCAGGACATCGGTCTGGATGGTGGACCAGGTCGGGATCCATTCTTTTCGGGTGCACCAAGGTCTGGCGGTTTTGACTCAAATGCTAAGTCCCTGTGATCTTTGGACGGGCGCCCTAGCCTCTTTTTGTGCCTCCCACAGATCTCAGAAAAATTTGTCCTGTTTTGTGCGAAAGGAACACCAAAGTCTGTGGACTTTATATGATTTTCATGTTGCAGCAGGCGCAGGCACCTATGCGATTCACAGAACAAGTGTTCATCCCTGCGCTCTTTCGCCAAAACGCCCTGGAGGTCTCCATTTTCCGCATGAGCGCCTGGCATCCATGTCGATCCCAGGTGACTTGAGGCTGACCCTTAGCGGCTGTGCATGTGTGGTCTGAAGGTGGTATCAGTATAGGGTCTGTCCCATGACCAGTCGGCGAACGATGATGACCTTTTTGAGACAAGCCCTGCAAGCACAAAAAACATCTCATCCACGTGCACTGTGAATGATGGACCTGCGATAGACCCAAGGTCTATTCCTGGTTGTCATGAAAAAGCACGGATGCGGTATGCGAACTCCAACACCTGAGACACGAATGCACGCAGCAACTCCGCTGGAACCACCTAAGAACTGGTCCACCCATCGAACGGCCTTCGACTGCAAGACCGAACGCTTCACGAAGCGCCTTATCCACGTGAGTGACATGAGTGGTCGTTCAGCTGAGACGTCAGTGGTTTGAGCCCACTGTGGAATACAAAGAATCATCTCCCAAATCCCGGATTTGAAGGGATGCCAAACCAGCTGGCTTACAGAAAGTAGTGGATCGATTTCCTGAGATATTCTCCAACTCTTTGAGTTAGTTTACATGTATATTATACTTCAGTCCTGAGCAATCATTCATTCGACCTGGTCTATTTGGTTTGGTGGTTGACATTTTTTTGCCCTAATGGAGGTATAACTGCTATAAACTGTAATAGATTGACCTCCTGGGTAGTCTATTCTGTTCATTTTCAGTGGTCAACCAGGGTCCCTGGTTTTGACCCCAGCCATATCTTTGTTTGTGAATCGAAATCCATCCCTTCCCGACCCTCCCCCCAAACCTCAGCGCGGCCTCACTCCGGGTGCTCGCTGAGGCAGCAAGCAGCTGCTTGGATCGAGATCTGAGGGTGGATGACGATATATCGGCTGGCAGGTCTTGGATGGATCTGATTGGTGGGAGTGAGACCAGTGGAGCTTAGGGATGAAGCTTTTCTGCCATGGAGTTTCCAAAGGAAAACAGACCAACCAGATGACCACCGACCGGCACCTGACCCCAACGTCCTTGTTCCCAACACCTGACTTGCCTCAGCTGGCCTGATTTGGGGCTACAAAAACCTCCGCCCTCCGCGTCGAAACGCCGCGGCGCCGGTGTTGCCGCCCGCACCTCCGCCCGCACCTCCGGGTCGGACGACACCACCGAGACGAAGCGCGAGACGAAGAGGCTGATGCAGTTGCTGTTCTTCATCGCGGTGCCCTTCTTCGGCTTCGGCTTCGCGGACAACGCGCCCTTTGGTCGGTGGAGACCGGGTGGGAGGGGTGGAGGGAGTGGATGCAAAGGGGAGACCGGAACGGGGAAAAACGCCGGTGCGGTTCTTTTTTTGGGGTTGGGCATTCAACAAAAACTATAGCGGCTTAATGCTGAAAGACTTAAAGTGAACAAACCTTGCCAACCTTGCTAAGTGCAATATATCAGTGTTTTTGGATCACACGTGCTTCCTTTTTGCTGGGAATGCTTTTCAAACAGGGTAACAGGACTTCGTTTTTTCTGTGTGGGCCATGTCAGTTGGCAAGACTCAACTGAACAAGAGAAGACCGGAACTGCATTGAGATGTGATGTTCCCAGAACTTCCGTTTTGGAGTCACGTCTCCACCTCCTTCACGTCACGCCTCCACCGGGTTCTGTTCATGAGTCATTCACAGCTGGACGTCCAGCTCCTCTCGATGGTGGAGATCTCTCATCGAAGTCTCCTCGAGATCGGTGGGCAGAAAGGCCCTTTTGGTGTGGTGTGCCCTGTTGGTGGGTCGTCAGGGGTCTTGACTCGATTGCTTCTTTGGGGTGAAAGGTTTCAGTCGCAGACTCCATGGTCCAAATACCCTCCCTTTGCTTGGAGGACGTCACAGCCGGACACATGGGCCCTGGGCATTCTCAGCCGATTTCGTCGACGGCGGCGGTGCGTCCTGATGGTGGTTTGCGCATGGTACGAAGTAGGAGACCAAGTGACGACCAAGTGCACGGAGTGCGGGGCTTCTCACCTCATCTAGCATCCTTCGGCACACTCTTGGACCCCTTGGTTCCTTTCCGCAAATCCAGGTAAAGCTAGACTAGATAATAGCTGGTTTCTATACTTAGGTACGGTTCCAAAGACTAAAACATACAAAAACCGAACTCTCTGGTCGCTTATACAGTGATGCCTACGGGCGAAACCACTCTCATCTGACAAGAAAGCCACGTGACTCCGCTGTCGACAGAGCCATACACCGGCACCTCCGCTCGACGCCGAGGATTATGATCGTTTGTGGCGACTTCATCGATGCACAGTTCGGTGTGATGTTCGGCTTGACCACCATGGCTTCGGCAGGCCGAGAGAAGTGAAACGAACGGTTTCTTCGTCACTCGGGCGTCGAAGCCGATGCCCTCCGGTTCGTTGGGGTGGGCGAGAACGATCGGTACAGATCACTGCATAGCCTGCCAGCCCGGGAAATTCATGCCATCAAACCCTTGGCTTGGACCGTCCGACAAAACGTCTGCGTTTGGCTGGTGTATGTTTGTTTTCCCCTAAGGATCCCTAAGGTGAAATCCCCAAACCTGGGGATGTTATTCTTCCCCGGTTCCCGGACGGCAAATCCAACGGGTGAGGCCTTGGGAACTGGCTGAGTGACACCATCGGCCTGGGCTTGGGCGATGTGATCGAGCGCTCCGCGGCGCAGCTGGGCGGGATGAGGGAATGATTTTACCCAAACGCTCCATGTATGGAATATATGCCTACATTGACCCCCCAAACCACCCCAATGTAGGCATATATTCCATACATGGAGTGTATGGGTTAGATCGATCTGGTTGTGTATTAAAGTACCTGGACACTCCATGGGACGATACCCGACACTCCATGCGACTACCCGGACACTCCATGGGACTGCAATATATGCCGGCATTGACCCCTGAAACCATTCCCATGCAATCATGGAGTACCTGGGACAGGGAGACCTCAGACCTCCCAGGCGTTCCGACCCACTGGAAGGTTCGGAAAAGGTTTGATCAGTCTACCCAGCCAAGGGATGCCAAGGGCGAGATGAAAGGGGGATCCCTATCCCAAAAGCCATCGGGCGAACGGAAGGTCCTGACCCTTTTGCATGGATCACGGTATGCATGTGGGATAAGAACGTCGAGTCGACGAACGACGAACTACGTCCAATGTTCGATGGTTGGAGCTTCCGTTCGCCGTGGGAATTGCACACTCCGGTTCCTCGAATCAGATTTTTTGGAGTGTTTGGGGTGGCCTGGTAGATCACCCTTGCGACCCTTGGTTCCAAAGACGCAGACCAAGTGCCCACGGTTCCTGCTATATATCAGTGGTATTCCTCGAATCTACTCATCAAGCCACCCGAAAAGCGTACCTGGCATGCTGGCGACTATGCTCAGTTCTCGAAACACCCGGCCTCTGCGAGTTCACCCGGCCTTGGCGAGTTCACCCGGCCTTGGCGAGTTCAATTAGTTCGGGAAGGCAAACAGGTGTGAATCTGACCTTCTTGACCGAATCAGCTGATGGACGAAAACGATCTGTTTGGGGACCTGTCTAAGAAAACACTCCAAACACCCCTGCTCGTTTTGAACACCCCATTGTAGAGAGGTTGAAGAGCCCTATATCCCTAAGGCCTACTACCAGGACCCTCCTGTCGGGGTGTCTATAGCCCCTTAGAGGTGAAGAACGGGGTGTCCATGTCTACCACCCCGAAGGCCCTGGTATAGGATCCCACGCCGTTGGCTTCGGTTCCGAGACCCCACAAGCCACTGAACCTGGTCGTCTGGTGATCGGTCCAGAGCTAAAAAAATATAAAACATCTCATGTTCACCCCTTCCTACTGAAAAGTGAACCACCTGCTAAAACCTGATCCCAGAATGGGATTGTTTTTTCCTGGTTTCGCCACTCCAGTTTGGAAAAGAGGTGGACCATTTCTGAGTTCGCTTCACCATTTTCAAGGCTCAGAAGTCAGCCTTTCGGATTTTTTGTGAAGCCAGTTTCGCCCACCGAGCCAGACTCGTTTCGCCGGTGCATCGAGCCAAGCACATCGCCCAGGAAGATGGGCTTGAGCAATGGGGGGTTGTCACCCGCGCAGGACGGAACGGGCCGCGGGCCTGCGACAGGGCGACCTTTGGGCGAAACCAGAGCATCACCAGGAGTGATGCCAAGCTCGGAGGATAGGCGTGCCCAGAACATCCACTCACTGGATGGGACTAAAGCCACCTCACATGGTTCTTCCAAGTGACCGAAACTGGATCTCCCGCGATAGCACTCCTCGCGCGCCGTTTTCTCCGAAGCTCGATGAAAGCAATGGAAGACATCGATGGTGCCAGGACTGGGGCAAGTGAAGAAGTTCACACCGGGTCATTGGATCATTGAGGGTGTTGAGGGTCTATAGACTGAATTGGGGAGGGTTCAACCAAGTATGGGGATCTATGATACAACCCTATAGGGATCATTTCTCTTTCAGTGATTTCGATTTAATCTGGTGATTTCTACATGCCAGCTGATGCTATTTAGGCGTCCTCCTTCATCCTTCTTCCAAAATGACTGATTGGGAGCTGACGAGGTTTGACAAGACCACCAGGTCTTCCCTTTCCAAGACCATCCAAAGCTCAGCTCAGCATTGTGCCTGCAAGGAGAGGATGCAAATTGCCAAGATGACCACCTTAGGCGCCCGACGACCTTCTGAGGTGTTCCCCTGCCAGGAGTTACAAAGGAGTGGTTTTTTAGAACTCTCCAGTAAGTGGATGTTCGGATAGCACCGCGACGACCTCCACGGATAGCACCCCTGTCCTCGCGCACCGTCACATTCGGACTGGTCGCTGGAGCACTCGGTCGCTCGGCGACCCGCCTGAGCATCCAGTCGTACCTTCTCAGAAGGTGATTACACTGTTATGTAGGTTTGGAGGGTCCAGTCGTACCTTCTGAGAAGGTACGACTGGATATTGCTTCAGCCGAAGGGAACGGAGGGTCCAAACATCAGCTTCGACACAGTCGTGCAGGCTTTGGGTGGTTTTGGGGCACCCAGCTCTTTTCTTTCTGGGAGGCTCCCCTTGCTTAAGCCTGGCTTGCCTAAACCCCAAGTCAGAAGGAGCCAACTCAGAAGGAGCCGAGGAAGCGCACCAAAAGCTTCAAATATATCAGAACCCTGGGGTCCCTTCTCTTGGGTCTTCGGACGATGTTTTGATACCTGAAGACGCAAGATGGACAATAGGCCGATACTGGCATGCTTAAAGAGACAATCCCATCGGCATGAAGAGGAGACCTCGGCCCAGAGATCTCAGCCTGACGGGGGTGATTCATGCAGGTGGCAAACTCATTGGCATCACTTTGGGCTGCTTCGCAGGCGCGCGTGCGTCCGCGCCGAATCCTCTGGGTGTAGTTGCGACATCTCGCTTCAGTGGTAGGACATGGCAGGACAAGTTTGCTGCATCATAGCTGAACACATACCAGGACCTTCCGTTCGAGGTGTCTATAAATAGCCTCTTAGAGGTGAAGAACGGGGTGTCCACAAACCACCAATATATATATATATATATGTCATCTTCTCTTTGAGTGAGATGTTTTGCACGAAGGCACGAATGCGGCCATTGGCTCAAATTAGCCCTGCATCTTTAAATTGGTGGTCCATATGACCATGAAAGTAAAGAACGCCTATATAAGCTGTCAGATCCAGATGGATCTCAATAAAGACTCTTCGAGAGGAAGAGCTTTGAAAGGAGAAGTGGCGAACCCGCCATTTCATAAAGCCTTGAGGTGGCTGGATGCAAAAGGAGTGCCCGTGAGTGCAATATATGTATTATATTGTATATATATATATTATATATATATGTACCTCTCGCGTCGGACGATCACAGTGAGACTTGTGCTAGACATGTGTGTCTATACACATGAAAAGAACCCCACAGGCCAGTTGTGGGTGCGAACCCAGGTTGGCGTCCATAAGGGATTGCCAACAATCTTTCGCTTGAGCACGTGGTCAGTGTCACACCTGATCATTCGAAGGATTGGTGTCATGGACATGAAGTCGGTGTTGGCCATGGCGAACCAGGTTCTGTCGGGCTGGGGCCATGACATGTTCCGCTCCCTCCTAGTTGATGTTGGTCGAGCTGAAATTCCATTCACTTTGGACGGCATGACCTACATCGCGGGCGAGATCCTCAAGATCCACGCTGAATGTGTTGAACTCCGCTCCTTTCCGTTTGCAACTGGCAAGGGGTTTGACAGGAAAGCTGCAACCAGAAGTGTTCAAGTGTCCGAGGTCTCGCTCGATTACCTTGAGGCAAGGGTTGCGTGTGGTATGTTGTGGGAAGATGAAATCTCAAGCTTGTTTGATGTGAATTGTCATTGATCCAGCTTCTACTCCAAGAGATGGACCTCGATCATACAAGGATTGCTGTGGACTTTGTTGATCAACTCATGCCTCCTGACATGTGCAGGTACTACTTCCTCTACAACATTTTCTTTCGGCCCGGACTGCAAGCGCCACCGCTTTTTGAAGTACATCATTGGCTTCTTGCACGGGCATGTTGCTCAGCGACCAACATCAGGAGCTGGTATTTGCTGCGTGTCAAAGTACCAACAGGTTTCCTCTTGTCTACTTTGTCGCGGGTACGGGCAATGGCAACATGGATGTTGATCAGCCCAAGAGCAAGGCAAAGCTGCAGCAGCACCGGCAGCCTGGCTGCCCAAGTCATCCCGGGCCGAGCGCGACCTCCAAGAATCATCCTTCAAGCCCACCGAGGCCTGTTCAATGCAAATGGGAAGACCTTACCATCCAGCCAGACATTTCCTTCCTTGGGGCCGATGGCCAAGCTTTCATTGAGCTCGCAGGAGGTGCGCATTTTGATTTTCTGTTTTGCAGCCACTTGCAGCCACTTGCAGCCACTTGCAAGTGGCCGCAAGTGGCTGCAAGTGGCTGCAAGTGGCTGCCCACGCAAGTGGCTGCAAGTGGCTGCCCAAGCAAGTGGCTGACAAGTGGCTG